CTGGCTAAGATTTTCTCGCTTTCTTAGTCAATCTGTGTGGTGGGGCATAATTGCCTTTCATCTCTTTCACTCTTGCTTCACAAATACTTCTGTCATTTCTGACTACCCAAAGAATTCCCTGTACTATTCCTTTTAGTGCATGCCTATGAAAACTTATGTTATGTTTAGAGGTGTTTATATTTTGCCATCACTCTTGTCAGCTATTACCACTAGGTATAGTATTCTAAGTTGACAACTGTTGATTTTAGCACATCAATATGATGTCCCATGGCCTGAATACAATGGCTACTATCATTTATTTACTTCCACAGGTTCCTTCTATCCAGAAGCAATGTTCTTGGAATCCTTAAGACCTGATACCTGTCTTCCAAAGAACAAGTAGTTTTGAATTAAGGAGACTGGGTCTCAGTAACACACCTGGCCATCCTGGTGCCTTGCTGTATAGAGGGGCATTCTGTCCAGCTCTAAAAAGCTTAAAGATGAGACAAGCTATGCTTTGAATTTCAGATGTTTATTCTAGGAGAGTTAGGAGAGCTCTGCTTCAGAGAATATACAGATATTATGCTGTTTATCCTCAAGAAAGTTTTACTTGTACCTGAATTTCCCCTATATGGTCTGCTTCTGTTGGAATTGGTCTCTACCCCAAACAGGTGGTTTTTGTCTTTAAAAGCTTTGTATGAGTTCTGTGTTTTTTTGTCTTTAAAAGCTTTGTACAGAGGCTGGGAAGGTAGCTCAGTGGTAGAGTGCTTGCCTTGCATGCATGAGGCCCTGAGTTCGATTCCTCAGCACCACATAAGCAGAAAAAGCTTGAAGTGTGGTACCATAGCTCAAGTGATAGAGCTCTAGCCTTGAACTGAAGAGCTGAGGGTTAGCGCCCAGGCACAGAGTTCAGGCCCCACAACCAACCAAAAAAAAAAAAAAAAAAGCCTTGTACAAGTTGTATGTGGGGCTGCAGGCCTTTGAGACTAGAGTCCACCTACAGTCACCAGCTTTCTAATAAAGACTCCCAATTTGACTCTCAGTTTGGCTTCTCTGTTTCTCACCAATCAAGTTCCCATACAAAAGTTTTCATATGTTCACTGACTCCTTTGGTGTATACTTGCTTTAAGCTACTCTATCACAGCTAAAACCTTTTTTTTTAAATGTAAGATTTTTGACCCAGGAAGTCTATATTTTATTGCTAATTCTTTAAAATATTTATGGTATTTCATTAAATTTCAGTAAGGTGTGTTGTTCCCATTAGAACGTCTGCTTTGTGTAAACCAAGTATATTTTTAATTCTATTTTTATTATCTTTAAGTAGTTATACAAAGAAGTTACCATTCAACAAATCATTTTATAAATGCAATGTATCTTGATCTATTGATCAATATCATTCCTTTCTTCATTCTCCCCCATCGCTCTCAACCTAATCCTTTCCCTTAATTTTCTTAGTTTCATAGGGTATCCACTGAATATTATGACTATATTCTCCCACCAATCTTTTGATCTTCCTCATACCACTCTAGTCCTGTTTCCTGGTATTCATTTTGGTGGACTGTGAGTTAATTTATATCTTTTGAAAGAATATTTTTTGAATATATTCTATTACCAATTCAGAGAAAACCTATTCTTTGACCATAATTTTTTACTTAACCTATATTTCTAAGAAACATAATTCTTAAAATTAAGAATACAGAGCTTTGTGCATCTGAAGAAATAAGTTTTCTTACTCAGTGATAAAAGAACTCTGTAAGCTTAAATACATGAAGTAAAAGAATACCATGAAAACTTTTTTGTTGTTGTTTCTGATCTTTTGACTTGAAATTACATCAAGGGCTCCTCAAGGTTGAACATATGAACAGGATAAATTTTTAGAGTCTAAAAATATTTTAAAACAATTTTATCTACTTAACAATTGACATTTATGTACAACAAAAGTATAGGATATATTACTAATACCATCTCAGGATAAATATGTATGTTAATTAAAGGTGATACTATTTGTAATCCTCACCGGTCCAAAACTACTATTTCACTTGAAAAAGTTATGCTTAATAATTTTTAGTTTGTCTTTATTGAATACAAATATAAATGCATATAGACTGTATTTTATTTCTATTTCTAGGATTTCTTCATCTTTAGCAGTATTCTAGAGTGATATGTGTAGTCTTCCATCATCAAAAGCATTACAAAATTGGTGTCTATAAGTGTTTTATTTGTTAAATTTATAGTCTATTTCCTAAGGAAACCTTTTCAGTGTATCTTCCCAAATTTCATATAACAAAAACAAGAAAAATTACAAAGCAAAACCTAACCAAATTAGAGTATAAAGAATACTTAGTATTCAATTAATTTAAAGGCTTTTAATCTAGCTTAATAGAACAAAGGAAAATTAATCAGAGAAGGCCGAGTGAAAATGGTATTTAGTGTCAATTATGCTGAAAATTTTTTTTTTTTTTTTTTTTTGTCGGTCGTGGGGCTTGAAGTCTGGGCTTGAGAGCTATCCCTCAGCTCTTCAGCTCAAGGCCAGAGCTCTACTATTTGAGCCACAGCGCCACTTCTGGTTTTCTAGAGGTTTATTGGAAATAAGAGTCTCACAGACTTTCCTGCCCGGGCTGGCTTTGAACCGCAATCCTCAGATCTCAGCCTCCTGAGTAGCTAGGATGACAGGCATGAGCCACCAGCACCTGGCTATGCTGGAAATATTTTCAGAATTAAAATTTCACAATTTCTAATAACAGAAACTAAGTAAGTCCACTGTATGCGTTTTAAACCAACTACATCTGAAAGATTGACCCTCACCTTATTTCACCAGGTCAAGCAAAACCCCAGGTGTACATGAACATGCTTGACCCATGCCTTACCCAAGCAGCCCATTCCAACCTAGGTCTGGTCATCACTGTAAGATGGGACATTCCACTCTGGACCTAACCTAAGTACTTGCTCCTAACCCTTGAGTAACTACAGCCTGATTGTTATTCTTTTGTTTCCTTGTTAAGACACATATAAGATGGATCTGAATCCACCTCCTTGTAAAACCTTCATTCTAATAGGAAGGTTATGCCCCTCGCTGTGCCTCAAGAAGCAATCCTAGAATTCCATTGTGTATATATACCACATTTTCTTGATCCATTCATCTACTGAGGGGCATCTGGGTTGGTTCCATATCTTAGCTATGGTAAATAATGCTGCAATAAACATAGTTGTGCTGGTAGCTTTAGTGTGGTCTTGTTTGTAAACATTTGGGTAAATGCCCAAAAGTGGGATTGCTGGGTCATAGGGGAGCTCTATGTGAATTCTATGCCTCCATCAGAAAGAATGACATTGCCCCATTTGTTAGGAAATGGAAAAACTGGGAAAAAATTATATTAAGTGAAGTAAGCCAGGCCCAAAGAAACGTAGGTCCCATGGTTTCCCTTATTTGTAATATCTAGTATATGTATGAGTCAAGCGGAAAAGGTCAGATAATGTGATGTCAGGAAAATGAACCCTTAGATGTGTATTTTAATGTTTTTTTCTTTCATGCATGTGTTTCTAACACATTTATAAGATTATCTCTTTGTTGCTTTGTATGTCCCTCCCCCACAGTATAACCCCTGCTTTCACTATATTTGATGTCAGTATAACTTGTGGAGGAGATGGGGAAAAACCAGTTGTTTAAGGATACAGGTGGACCTGTTGCAACAATGAGAAGTACAAGTTGTCATGTCCAAAACGAGCTTTACAACATTGGTGCGGGGGGGGGGGGGGGGGGGGGGGGGGGGGGGGGGAGGGGGGGAAGGAGAAGGATTGGGATTGGGGGGGAGGGGGGAGGCTGGGAAGGGATGTGAAGGGTAAACAAAGGAGGAGGCTGCAATGCTTGGTAAGAAATGTACGCATTATCCTGCCCATGTAACTGTAACTCCTCTGTACAGTATGTTCACAAATAAAATTAAATTTAAATTAAAAAAAATAAAAATAAAAATAAAAATAAAAAAAAAAAAAAAGAAGCAATCCTAGCCTGTTGAAGATTAAGTCTAGCATTTTCCTTTTTCCTTCATTTTCTTTAACAACCTCTATGGAAGTAATGCCTCTCTAACAAAGCTGGAAGATAAATGTATGACAGAGTGGTTCAGATCCTTCAGTGCTATGGCCAAGTCGGGGGAGGGGGAACCCAAAACAAACAAACAAAAAAAACCTGCAACAAAATAATTCAAGTACTTACTTCAAAACAAAACAAAAGGCCGGGTGCTGGTGGCTCATGCCTGTCATCCTAGCTACTCAGGAGGCTGAGAGCTGAGGATTGCAGTTCAAAGCCAGCTCAGGCAGGAAAGTCGGTGAGACTCTTATCTCCAATAAATCACCAGAAAACCTGAAGTGGCACTGTGGCTAGTGGTAGAGTGCTTGCCTTGAGCTGAAGAGGTGAAGGACAGTGCCCAGGCCCAGAGTTCAAGCTCCACAACCAACCAAAAAAAAAATCACAAAGAGAGCCAAACTTACCAATAACAGTTTCTAAAAGGTGTATTATTTGCTTTGACTTAGGGTAAATAAATCAAGTGCCTTCTATCTATAGCTGTGTTTATTCCCTAACAACTGCCTAACAACCACATTTGCCATAATGTTAATACTAAGAACAAAATGAAGTCAACTTTTATTTTTTTTTATAATTCTCTTTTGTGTTTGAACTCAGGGCCTGAATGCTGTCCCTTAGCATTTTCTACTCAAGGCTAGTGCTTGCTCTACCAACTAAGTCACAACTCTACTTACAGCTTTCTGCTGGTTAATTTAGGTAAGAGTTTTGTGAACTTTCCTGCCTGGGCGGCTTCAAACCACGATCCTCAGATCTCTGCCTGAGTAACTAGGATTACATGCCTGAGCCACTAGCCCCTGGCCAGTTTTATTTTTGTACATATTTAACCTACAGGCTTTTTAAACACACAACTTCAAGTAAACTAATTAATGTATGTATTCACTTAGGCACAGTGGAAATGTGCGAATTTTCATCCATACAAAACATGAGAGCACAATTCATTACATACCACAGCACTCAGGACATTTTGGATGCTTCAGGACATTCATTCCATATCCCGGAAAGCAGCGATTGATCCAAACCATTTGGAGAGTACCTTCAATATAGTATATTTCAGGCAATGGTTCTGAACGTCTGCCAATAGCTTCTACTTGCTGATTAAAAAATCTTTCTATGAGAGTTTTAGCCTAAAATAAAAAAAGTTTATTAACTATAAATAAATATAAATTTAGAATAATAAGGTAGAATCATTACAAAACAAAGTTTCTAAGTTTCTTGGTCTATTTCATAGAATATAAATACCATGTAAAAACAAAAAAGATGTCATTTCTATACATAAAGTATTTCCAAATGTACCTCTATATAGAAGAGAAAGACATATTCTGAAAATATAACAAATTGTTTTGATCCTTTCAAATTTTGATAATATACAGATAGACAACTGAGAAAAATTAAGATAGCTCCTTGAATTTAAATGCAACAGAGTACTGTTAAGTACTGGTAAATCTTTCAAAGAATTATTTTTCCTTTAAATGTGCAGATATTGGGACAAGAGAGAGATAACTCCCTCAAAGTTGTTAGACCCTTCCACAGGCTCAGATGTCTTGACCAACACACTGTCAGCAACATAGGTGCACCACTCCCATGTCTGGACTCAAAGTACAACTCTGGCCTCTGATCAACTGGCTATTTTTAAATAAAAGCCTTATAGTTATACCAATCTGAATTATAAAGTATATAGTTCAACAAAGAGCCAGATTCAACTACCAGATAATGGAATATCAACTATAAAAATGATATGAAAATGAAATAAGAACATGAAACACAGACAGCATATCTGAAAGTTAGCCTATGTGAACTACAAAGAGTAAATGGAATAAAATTAAAAGTTCAATAGAGAACTGAGCTAGAAAAATAAAATGTAATGAATATATGAAGAAATCATTCACAATGTAAAACATAAGAAGGAAAAAAAACTGTAAGATTGAACAATAAACACAGAAAAATCAATAAGAAAATGAAAAATACAGTGAACTGAAATCCCAGAAAGGCAAAAGGGAAACAATACTTTCAAAAGGATTCTGGCTAAAAATATTTTTGAACTGATGAAAGCTATTAACTCCAGAAATAGGTGGCAAAATAAATTCTGAATGAATAAAAATAGCAGAAAAAAGAATCTTTATATGTTAGAAGGAAAGAAAAGTGAGAAGTAGATAAAATGTCACTGGCCTTCTGAAATAATTTTAACTAGAAAAATATAAATAACAAAATATAAAAACAAACATAAAAGCAATTCATGAGAGCTAAATGTCATGAAGGCTCAGAAATAATTTCAAATACACATACATGTTAAAACTTAAAGCAAAACCACTTTAAAACAAGCCACAAAGAAAAAAATGAATTAAAAAAAACTGATCAAAGTCAGGTACAGGTGGCTCACATCTGTAATCCTAGCTACACAGGAAGCTAAGATCTGAGGATCAAGGTTCAAAGACAGCCCAGGTAGGAAAGTCTTCATGGCCCCAATAAATCACTAAAAAGCTTAAGTGAAGCTGTGGCTCAGTTGATAGAATGTTAGCCTTGAGCAAAAAAGCTCAGGGACAGCTCCCAGACCTGAAGTTTAGGCCCCAGAACAAGGACCACCAACAGTGACAACAACAACAAAATCCTGGTAAGTTTAAATTTTTTAATGTTTTTTTTATTGTAAAAATACTGTACAGAGGGGTTAGTTACATGAGTAAGATAATGAGTATATTTCCTATCAAGCATTGTTATCTCCTCCTTCCTTTTTCCCCCACCACTCTTTCCCTCCCCATGTCCCCAACTCCTCCCCCACCAGGTGTAAAGTTTGTTTTCAACGTAGTGTCTTATACATCTCATTGTTACAATGGGTCAACCTGTATCCTTATTTCAGCATTTGGTTATTTCCCTTCCCCTCCCTAAATTAGAAAAATGTATATACAAGATTCAAGCACCTACATCAAATACAATGAAAATAGGGGTTATACTGTGGGGGAAGAACATACAAGAGAAACAAAAAAAATCACATAGTACATTTTGAATACGTTAAAACCAATACCAAGAAAGAAAAAAATCACTTTTCTTGGTATTGTTTTTAACGTATTTAAAATGTACTATGTGATTTTTTTTTCTCTTGTATGTTCTTCCTCCTTTTTTTTCACTTAACATTGGTCATATTATACAGTTTAAAAATTTTTTAAAGATGAGGAAGAAAGAAATTCTTCCTCAGAAGATAGAAACCTCAGAGCAAAAACAACAAAGAAATTGTGGAAGTACAGTTATAAAATATAATCAATTTGAAAAGGCACAATCAAAAGAAGGCAGAGTAAAGGAATACAATTTAAAAGATGGATGTAAAGGAATATCAGGATGCTAAGAGTTAAATCAAATCAAAATACTGTCAATTGAATTTAAAAGCTAAACTATATTCTATAAACAACAAATGTTATTTTGTTCACTATCAAATGTAACCATTTAAAAATATTTACATTACACTAAATACAAAATTGACATAAAGTTTAGAAAAATATGCATATGAGGAAAAAGTTGAAACACAGTTTAGGAAAACATGACATAAATGACTGAAGAAATGTAATAAATTCATTAACTGGAAGGATAAATATGTTAAAACACCACTTCTCATCACAACAACACTTTCTACACACTTCCAATATAAATCTCAGTATGTTTTATAGATTCTTACAGGGTATTTACTTAGAAGTAAAAAGTAATCAAAACAGAAATTTAAGTGATCATGGAATAGTATCCAGTGTATACTAAAACAGAGCTGTTGTAATCACAGCAGTATAATCTGGGCTGAGAATGCCTGATTCTCAGTTATGTGAAGACAGAGATAAGACTATCTTCAGCCTGGCACTGGTGGCTCATGTCTGTAATACTAGCTACTCAGGAGGCTGAGATCTGAGGATCACAGTTCAAAGCCAGCCCAGGCCTGAAAGTCCATGAGACTATCTCCAATAAACCACCAGAAAACCAGAAGTGGCGCTGTGGCTCAAGTGGTAGAGCACTAGCCTTGAGCTAAAGAGCTGAGGGACAGCGCCCAGGCCCAGAGTTCAAGCCCCACAATCGACAAAAAAAAAAAAAAAGGAAAGAATATCCTTGTTTCGGGCCAGACGGCAAAAAGTTAGCAAGATCCCATCTCAAAAACAACCAAGCTGGGCCTGCTAGCCCAAACCTGTAATTCTAGCTGCTCAAGAGCAGAGTTAGAAGGTTAATGGTTAAGAGGCTGGTCCCTGGCAAAAATAAGAACTTATCTGAAAATGAACAAAATAAAAAAGGGCTGTGATGTGGCTCAGGTGGTATCATATATGCAAAACAAGTTCAAGGAGAGAAAGAGAGAAAAAAAGAGCAGCAACAAAAAAACCCACCTCAGAATAGTCTGGAGTAAGTCACAACTAAAGGATCAGAGAGAATCTAGAAATAGACATACAAATTCAGTTTGTCAACAAAATTCAGTAAGGAAAAGGCTTTTCAACCAGCAGCACTAGAACAACTGGATGTTCATTTGGGGGGGGGGGGGGCATGGGTGGGAAATCAACCTTCATTATTCTTTATAAAATAAAAAGAAATACTGTAACAATGCAGACTCTTACAATAGCATGAACAATATATACAACAAGATTCATTTGTAATTCAAACAGTAAACACAAAAGCTGTAACTCAGAACCAGAACTAAACTAGAGGTAGAGAATGATTTTTCAAGCAGACATGATATACCCACACAAAACAATAAATGACAGGGTTCTTACCACTATTATGAAGACAGTTGGTATAATATTCCTTATATGTTCTCCTTAATATAATTTTAATAATGGTGGATATTATATTCAAACCCAACATAAAAAAAACTCATATAGGTGACAAGTAAGAGGCAATCTAGCTAGAGACCTTATAACCAATGAAAGACATTATAATGACTTCTTTTGAGTTTTCTTGGCAACCTCCAGCCAATAAAAGCCTACTCTGTAGTCAAAGAATCAGAAAAAGAGCAGCTTAGTAAAACAACAGTTACTTGATAACTGTTCTACAAAAGCAAATACCACAGGGGGAAAAAACTTTGAGATTAGCCATAATTGGCTTCCAAAGGGCTAAGAGAGGGCCTACAGATGTTTTCTCTCTTACCACTTTTCACACTGAGGTGTTATAAGGCCAAGTAGAAAGCATATAGTATAGGGATTTTTATTCTTCCACTCTTCTCTTAGGCAGCAATGAGTCAATCCATTATACAATGTAAATGATGCACACATGGGTATTTGGTTCTCCAATCTGACTCAGGTGGTAATAAAGTCTACCTCAACAGTTGTACAGTCATTGGAGAATACAGAGGATTCCAGAATACTTCTAACTGGTAGTCATGAGATGCCTCTTGCTCTTCTTACTCAGTTGTTAATAAACTCTGCAGGTGCTATAGCTGAATCTCTGAAAGACCATAGTACTCTTTTGTAAGTTACAGGACAACCATGAATAGGACACTCTGTCATGCTTCATTTTCAGTCAATGTAAGTTCTCTCATCAGGAGGGCAATATGAAACACCATGTAGAGCAGGTTCAGTAAAACCTACTTGCATGTAGACAATAAGTGCTATTTCAGTAAGAAGAAAAAGCTGACTCAGCATGGAAGAGGTTCAGTGTAAACAATCTGCCACTAAGCTGGTGGATAATTACCTTAGCTGAGGGGGCTCAGTGCTGGTGTTAGTAAATGAGAGACAGGGCACTCTGTGGCCATAGAATAGGTTTGATGAGTGGAAGCCCCTGTTGTGTTCCCAGGCATAACTTCCATCAGTGGCACCATGATCAACTTGTTCATGAGCCCAATGGCAGTGGCTGAGCAAAGAGGCTCACTAAAAAAGTGATCCTTTGCTTTAGTCACCCTTTTGTGAACATTCCCACAGGACATAAATAGCTTCACTTTATTTTTGCCTACTCAAGAGAGGTTTTTCTACCTGCCTCTTCTCCAAATTTCTTTCATTAATTTTACAATCATATTTCTCATGATTGACCAGATCAGGATCCCATGAATCAGCATATACTTGGACAAGAACCATTATACTTCCAAGCAAAGTGCCAAATAACAAGCAAGAGTAATACACCCCAATGAGGACTATGCTGCTGCCCAATTCTAAATCTTCCCACTAAGCATGTTAAT